GATTGAAGTATATTTGGACTCCTTACGTGTGCATGTTGGCAGCGTTTGGTGTGTGTTCTCCTGAGCTTTGGATGACTCTTTTCAAGTGGCTTCGACTAAGAACTGTGCATCCAATATTGTTGGTAAGCCATTGTTAAAATACTTGTTTCTCTTCCATTTATACAAAATCAAATGGGAATAATGGAAATAGTGAGTACAGTTACAGTAGCCTGAATAAATCACACATGACTTACAGATAGAATACTAGATCACCCAAGAAGCATTTTATACATTTTGATCTATACATCCTAAAATTAAAGTGTAAAAATTCAAATGAACCTATGAGAGACCACTAGAAATTCTTTTTTTTTTTTTTTTACATTTGTTTAGTGTGTGTGTGTGTGTATGTGTGTGTGTGGCCAGCTCAGCCCACGTGGGGGCAGGGCTGGCTGGCATGTGGAGCTGGGGGATCGAACCGCGGTCCCTGTGCTTTGCCAAGCTTGTTCCAAGTAGGTGTTTTAGACCACTGCTCCATCTCTCCAGCCCTAGAAATTCTTTATAAACTGATTTCTTAAAAGATGTAAGAAATTAAATTTATTTATTTGAACATTTTTAAGGTAATGTGGTGATATGTATGTATTTATTTGAGATAGGGTCTCACTAAGTGGTCCAAGCTGTCCTCGAACTCATTGTATAGCTCAAGTTGGCCTCAAATTCATGTCAGTCTTCCTGTCTCAGCCTCTCAAGTTAGGCATGTATTACCACACGTGCTTATTTATTTGTTGTTGTTTAAAAAATTGTCATTTTAACAATCTGAGTTAGTAACAAATTATAAAATTATCTTTCATGTTACTGTACATTGTATTATGGGCCAATTGAAAACTCTAGATTATATATGCAGGTTTCTTTTTATCCTTAATTTCTATTACTGTCACTTAGAAGTGAAAGCGATTTGTAAAATCATGCATTTGTGAATACAAATGCCAAAAGTTATGCATGCAAGTTAATGCACAACCAAAAGTGTACACTGTTTATTAGTACAGTTGTAGTACAGTTGTGTGTTAAGTTAGCCAATACAAATGCAGTTTTTCTGGGATATTTCACTCCATTTAGCTATTTATTTTTTAAAAGACAAAGGTTTTTTTAGTTTATTTTTTTGAGACATCTCACCATATAATTCAGGCTGGCCTTGTGCTCTCTTTTGTAGCTCCCAGGCTGTTTTTTCAAACTCAAAGACATCCTTTTGTCTTAAGTTCCCAAGTTCTGGGATTACAGGCATGTGTCACCATGCCCAGTTAAGAGACAAAGTCTTCTCATGTTGCTTAGACTGGCTCCAAATTCCTAGGCTCAAGTGATCCTCCTGCCTCAGCCACCCGAGTAGTATAGGCATGCAGCAGCACAACCAACTTTAATTTTTATGTTTTAAAATTTGATTTAGAGCTGGTGGGATAGCTCAGCAGACTAAGTGCCTGCTTTGGCAAGTGCAGGGATCAGGGTTCAATTCTGGATCTTACATGCTTTGCTGGTCCCACCTCCGGTGCTTGCTTAGCTGACAAATGAGTCCAGGCATGGTGGTGTACTCCTGTAATCCCAGCACTGGGGAGGCTGAAAACAGGAGGATCACTATGAGTCCGAGCTATGTGGTGAGACCTGTAACAAACACATAAATAAATTTAAAAAATTTTGATTTAGAACTATTTTGTGTTTTCCATGTGAGTAAGACATTTACAGTGTGCCTACTATATGCTATAGATAAATAAAACATTATCAGCACGAAGCCCCAAGTTCTATCCCCAACATCATCAAACAAATGAAACCATGATTAGTTTTCTCAAGTATATTATAATCTATTGGGCATTTAAAAAGAAGATAGAAGAAGTCAGGTCTAGAGGTGTAATTCAGTGGTAGAGTGCTCTATAACACTAAAAAAAATTTAGAACACTGAGAAGGATTACTTCGTTAAGTATTCTTAGGGATTCAAGGAAGATTTTTCCAATCTGAAATTTATTTTTGTTGTTTTCTTTTGGGTTTTTGCAACAGGGTCTTGCCGTGTAGTTCAGGCTGGCCTTGAACTCACTGTGTAGCCTAGGCTGACCTTGAATTCGCAGTAGTCCTCCTATCTTGGCCACCAAGGGCTGGGATTACAGGTGTACACCATCACATCTTATTCTCCAATCTAAAATTTGAAAAATGATGAGTTGTAAGACAAATGTAAAAGAAAAAAGGGTAAAAGGAAGAGATAGATTTAGGCAAAGAACATGATGTAATCAAAAGAAATAAGAAACATGGAACAGTTTAGTTTTGTTGACACATAAAATGTAAGATAAGAGTGGCTGAGAAATCAGACTGAAGCCTGAGGCACAAGGATTGCTGGAAATTGGGTTAAACATGGAGGGGGCTGGTGAGATGGCTCAGTGGTCTAAATCACCTACTTAAAACAAGCTTAGCAAAGCACAGGGACCGCGGTTCAATCCCCCAGCACCACATGCCAGCCAGCCCCGCCCCCTGGTGGGCTTAGCTGGCCACACACACACACAAATAAATAAATTTGGAAACAAAAAAAAAACATGGAGGGATGAGAAAGATACACAGACCAGTGGATCATGAGTTATGCAACAACTTGGGGCGATAAGAAAAACAGGTTTTGGCAGGAAGGTGACAAATATGTTTAGTAATTACATCACTGGACATGGATGCACATGCCTGCAATCCCAGCACTTAGGAAGCTGAGGCAGGAGAGTCACTGCAAGTTGAAGACCAATCTGGGCTACATAGCAAAACTCTACCTAAAAAAAAAAAAAAAATTATATATATATATGTATATATATTTATGATGTTGTGTTTTACTAGTCTTATTCTTGGAGGAATTTTTTTGGTGGGTAGCTGGTGCCAGGAATTGAACTTGGGACTTTGTGCTTGCGAAGCAGGCACTTGTGCCACTGAGCTATATCCTCAGCCCCATTCTTGGAAAAATTTGTAATGTAGTAGTACATTAATATGTGGTAGCTATTTTTCCTGTGTTACTTCATTGTCTTTTTTGTTGTGGTGGTTAGCTTTTCATGTAGAAGTTTATAATTCCTTGTAAGTTCTTCATAATATAAATATCTAGAAAAATGTTCAAATTTTGTTTTACTATTTGAAATATTACTATTATAAGCACTATTTTTTAAATGGTGTCCTTTAAACTTATATAGTACATGTGTGTATCTTCCTTTATGTCCAGCTTAATTTGTTTGAAAATAATTAACTTTAACTCATTCATCTCACTTTGTAAACTAGATTCCATGCCAACTGTTCTCGTTCTCTTTCTCTCTCTCTCTCTCTCTCTCTCTCTCTCTCTCTCTCTCTCTCTCTCTCTCTCTCTCTCTCTCTCTCTTTCTTTCTTTCTTTCTGTGATAGGACCTTGCTACCTAGGCTTGCCTTGATACACTTTGTACCACATGCTGGTCTCCTCCCTCAGCCTACTGAGTGCCAGGATTATAGGCGTGCACCACCTTCCTAGCCCAACTGCACTTTCTCTGACTGAAACTTTTTTTTTTGGTACCGGGAATCAAATTCAGGACCTCGCACTTACCAGGCAGGTGCTTATGTCGCCAAGCTTTATCTCCAGTCCTCTGACTGAAATTTTTATACCTATGAGGGTATTCAGTTGGTATTCAGAGCTAGTTCCTCTGAAGTGTACACTAAAATATGTTTATTCATAAACCTTTTGCTTTCACCTTTTAGGCTCTTATTCTGAGCATGGCTGTGCCCACCATAATAGGTCTCAGTTTATGGAAAGAGGTAAGAAAACCAGGTTTTATATTACTAACATGTACTTCATCTACAAGGTGGTCGTGATAAACATATGTAGGTAGGAACCATGTTAAAACGCTGTTCTGATGAAGTATGAAACACTTAGCAGTGCTTTTTTTCTTATCATTAGGAATGTGATATTTTTATTTAATGTGATATTTATATTAAGAGCCAAAATATTTTTAAAGTGCTTCCACCTGGTGCAGCTTTCTGTAATCTAATGCCATAGTTAATTCAATTATAAATGACAAAGGAAATTTCTGAATAAATAAGCCCAATACTTGTAAATGTTTCAATAACTCCATTTTTTTTTTTTTTTTTTTTTTTTTTTTGCGGAACTGGGTATTGAACTCAGGCCCTTGTGCTTGCCAGGGAAGCACTTATTCTACTGAGCCATCTCCCCAGCCCCAACTCCAAAATTTTGATAGCTATAAAATTATATAAATTCTTTGGCCTACTTTTTTTTGAGATAAGGTCTTGCTTTGTAGTTTAGGCTGGCCTTGAACTCCCTGTGAATCCAGGGCTGCCCTTGGACTCCTGATGATCTTCTGTCCTCAGTCTCCAGAATGCTGGGATTACAGGCATGCACCACCATGCCCGGCTTTGGTTTATTCTTTTTTTTTTTTTTTTTTTTTTTTTTTTTTGCGGTACCAGAGATTGAACTCAGGACTTGCTAAGCAAGCACTTATTCTACTGAGCTATCTCCCTAGTATGGTTTATTCTTACAAAAAGTTAAAATAAATGACAATAAATCAAATTATTTGACCTGAATTGTACTTGTTTAGTATGTGTGTGCATGAAAGATATAAATGGTAATTGTTTGTTAATATTAAAATTATTTATTGAGTCTAGACAGTGAATTAATCAGAAAGTAGATCATGTGGCTTGAGAAATGTGAGAAAGTAGAGATCTATGTCATTTTGTCTTTGTAAGTAGTGTTGCAGTAGCATTTGCTTTAAATTAGTCTTAAAATTCTCTGGGATAATTTTAACCTTTCTAGTTTCTTATACTACCTCTTGAGAATTTTGTTTTGCATTTTAGTTTTTTCCCAGATTAATGACAGAATTAACAGAACTACAAGAATTCTATGATCCAGATACAGTGGAACTTATGACCTGGATAAAGTAAGAATTGAATTGTCCAGCACCATTTTTAAGTTATTAATTTAGCTATTGTAATTGCATGCTATCTAGAGAATTCAGGGGAAAGAATAAATCATTTTCCAAATTGTCTTACAACTCAAAAATTGTTGTTTTAGGGACAGACAAATAGCTCAGTGGATTAAAGCTCCTGCAAGCAGGCACAGGGGCTGGAGGTTCAATCCCCGGGCCTGTGCTGAGATTGCAGTTGAGATGAGGCATGGTGGCGCATGCTTGGAATCCCAACTATTTGGAGGCTGTAAACAGGGCGGATCACTATGAGTCTGATCTAGTAGTGAGACCCTGCGTACTCTGAGGACCTTTCCCTAAAATACCAAAAAAAAAAAAAAAAGAAGAAGAAGAAAGTTGTTTTATGTTTTGGGGGACATTTAGTTTTTTGTTTGTAGGTGTTTGGGTTGATTTTTTTTTTTTTTTTTTTTTTTTTTTTTTGAGACAGGGACTTAATTGGTAGCTTAGACTGGCCCTGGCTGGCCTAGAACTGAACAGTGATCCTCCTGTCTCAGCCTTCCAATCCCTGGGATTACAGGCTCTTGCCTCTATGCCCAGCTAGTATTTTAGTAGACTTTATAATTCTCATTTCCTAATTAAGCTCACCTTCAGGAACCTGAAAATGCAATAAATAAGAGATTCAAGACTACCACTGTCAAACATCTAGAAATACAAAATAGATACATTTTTATTTAGAGAGTCAAGAGAATCCTTCTTTTGCTGTGAGTTTCAGGGATTGGCAGTAGTTGCTGCTCTTGATAGCCAGGGTGTTTAGATTTTAATTCCCAGGTAGGAGAAAGGATGTGGTCTTGGTCCTTTGACAGCAAACGATAGCACTGAGATCCGCTCCAACATATAGGAACTTTGAAAGGCTATACTGTCAGTGAAAACAAAAGCGCCTACAAAGGAATCACTAAGTGGCAGAAAATAAATGACAGGCTGAGGAGTAACTTGGTAATAGAACACTTCTGGGTTAAGTCTCTACTGTTGCCCAGAACAACAAAAAAGTTTATTCTTGCCACTGTCCATTTATTTTGCATTATTTTTAAAAGCATTATTACTACCCAGCACATATGTTTGTTTGTTGTCTCCTTCTGCTGCTGCTTTTCAAAAAAAGTTTCTTCAGCATTGAAATCACTGCTTGTCATATGTGACTCAGGTTGTTTTGGTTTTGAGGGTTTTTTTTTTTTTTAATGAATTCAGAAATGAAATAAAAATTGATGTTGAAATTTAAGTGAATTTTACATTGTCAGTTGTCTGATGTTTCACAGTTGGTATAAATTAGTGGTCTTAATTGCACACTCCCTCCCTTCTCATTGTGTGACTCGTTTGGCTCTTTGCAGAAGACAGGCTCCGGTTGCAGCTGTGTTTGCAGGGAGTCCACAATTAATGGGTGCCATTAAACTGTGCACTGGATGGGTGGTGACAAGCCTGCCTCTCTATAACGATGATGATCTTCTGATGAGAAACGAAAATGTAAGGCATTTTACACGCTATATTTGGTTCTTTCATAAAGCATTGTATTTTACTATAGTTCTGCAGAGATGTATATATTTCTACTTAGCTAAGAAAAGTCATTTTTAGGCAAGATCAGTATATTCAGATTGTTATGGCCTGAACAACCTAAATAATTCTAGATGACTCAATTAGTTTTAGTTTTTAAAGGATATATAATACATTTAGCCAAAGGGAAACTCAGAGTTAAAATTGTGAGTTCTTTGTTTCATGAACAGTACTGTTTTTCTAGGGAAAACATTTGCTTTTCCACCAAGCATCCAGGGAACTGATGTGTAATATTTTAGTAAGGGAAACTGTGCTTTGAAGATGTTGTGATTCTTGTCGTTGTAGGAAGCAAGGCAGTTGGCAAAACTGTTGATTCACTGTGGCTTCCTAAGCTACAATTCTATTTATTAAAAATTGTGGTTACTTTTTGATTTGAGGGGTTTGTGGGTTAGCTCAATTGTTTAAAGCGCCTGCTTGAGCAGACTCAGGTGCAGGGGACCGTGGTTCAATCCCTAGCTCACCAACCACACAAGACCTGCCCTTAAGGCACCTGAACTAGGAAAAAGAAACCAAAAACAAATCCTTATTTTTTGATTTGAGCACTTATTAATCCTTCAGATCAAATGAGGTTAAGAATGCAGAGTTAGAGCACTTGGACTCAAATTCTAACTTGGCCACATACTAGCTTTGAGATCTTGAATAAGTTACTGAATGTGGAAGTAATAATAGTGCTCTCCTCCTGCTTGACAGTTAAATGACATAATGTGCTATGCTTAAAATGCAGCAAACTTTAAAATTAGTTATGATGTTTTATTATGCACTATTAAATCATAAGTGTGTATGCATGCATACATACATGTACAAAGCACATGGAGGAGTCCAGAAGCAAGAGCAATCAGTTCTGCTACAGAAATCATAAAGATCATTCCTCTTGATGTGAGTCTTGAAAACTGATTAGAAATTTGTTTGGAAAAGGAATGCATGTGATTCCAGGATGAAAAAAGTTATACAGAGATATTTCCATGGCCACAAAACTAGAATATAAAGTGGAAGCCCAATTCCGAAGGACCTGTAACATCATGCTGAAGGATTTAGACTTGTCCTTGAGGCATTTAGAGACAAGGCCTTTAATAAGCCTGGCAGTGGAGTGATTAGATCTGTTTTAGAGTTAATTATGGTCATGGCAGAAAGAGCAGATTGAAGCAGGCCTGGGAGAGATAAGAGTGGGGAGGTTGACCTCAGGGTGACTTGCCTGGAAGACAGTAGCCACCTGGTCTTAGTTAGCATTTGCAGTACTTGAGAGATGTTGCTCAGCCAAAATGTAGACAGCATGCTCCTGAGCTTGTATTTTTTGTAGATCTAACACAAATAACTATGGCTTTTTTGAGTCAGGCTCTCACTATATAGCTCAAGATGGCCTTCAATTCCCTGTGTAGCACAGGCTGGCCTCAAACTTGTGATAATCTTCCTACCTCAGCCTGTTTTCTTTAATAGGACTTTTTTCTAGAAGAGAATTTCAGAATCACTTATAATTAGGTCACAGTTCTAGTAAAGTTCTATTTATTTATTATTTATTTTGTATTTTAGGAAAGGGTCTACAGGGTGTTCAGGGTCTCACTACTAGATTGGACTTGTAGGGCTGGTGAGATGGCTCAGTGGTCTAAAGCACCTACTTAGAACAAGCTTAACAAAGCACAGGGACCGCGGTTCAATCCCCAGCACCACATGCCAGCCAGCCCCGCCCCCTGGTGGGCTGAGCTGGCCACACACACACACACACACACATAAATAAATAAAATTAAAAAAAAATAGATTGAACTTTTAGTGATCTGCCTGTTTACAGCCTCCCAAGAGCTGGGAGTACAGGCGTGCACTACATGCCCAGTGCCCAGTCTCAATTGCTGTCTCAACATGCCCTGGGAGCGGGGCTGGCTTGGCAGGCCCAGGGATTGACACCCCAATCCCTGTGCCTCTTTACAGGCACTTTAATCCACTGAGCTATTTGGCTGGCCCTAAAGTTCTAAATAATTAACATTTTAGAATTTTCAGAGTTTTTAGAATTTTCAGTTTTATGGAAGTAGTAACCATGACTCTGAAAATAGTAAATATGTTTCATCTCAAACCTTTATCTTTGTCTATACTATGTAGTACATAGCAGATACCAAATAAATGTATTGTTTTATTAAAATCTAAATAGGGTGCCGGGGAGATAGCGTCACAGTCTAAGTGCCTGCCTGGCAAGGACAGGGTTTGATCCCTGGACTGCATGCTGTGCTTCCTATAGTCCCAGTGCTGCGGAGGTTGAGACAGGAGCAGCACTACAAGTCTGAGTTGCATAGTGAGACCCTGTACCAAATAAATAAAAGATTTTTTTTTTTTTTTTTTTTTTTTTTTCAGAACCGGGGATTGAACTCAGGTCCTTGCGCTTGCCAGGCCAAGTGCTTATTCCACTGAGCTATCTCCCCGGCCCAATAAAAGATTTTTTAAAAAAATCCAAATAGAACTCCAGAAATAAGACTATATCATATAGGCATTGTCTCTAATTAAAATACAGGACTAATCTTTGCCCAATTTCCTGACCAGTTATTTGTAACCTGGGATACTTATGTCCCCAGTTGACATTTGGCAATGTTAGATAGAGATGCTTGTGATTGGTACAGTGGATGGAGGGTTCTATAGGCATCTAGGGTTGTCTCGGTTACTTTTCTCTTGTTGCTAGGACAAAATACCTGACACCCAAAATTAAGGAAGTAAAGGTTTATTTAGCTCAGTTTGTGGTGGTTTCAGTCTATACTCCGTTCCAAGGCAGAATGGCACATGGCAGAGGGCAGCAGCTCATGGCAGCAGAAAACTACAAAACAGTAAGAACGAAAAGGGAAGAGTAGTGGTGGCAGTGGCAGCATTCCCTTGCATTGCATTCAGGCTACCCGCCCAAGGGCGAGTGGATCACTCACACCTGTAATCCCAGCATTGGATCATGAATTAATCACAAATTCTAGGGCCTGCCAAATAGTTCAGTGTATTAAAGCTCCTGCAAGCAGGCTCAGGAGCAGGGTTTCGATCCCAGGGCCTGTTGTGCCGGCCCCACCTCCGGGGCACACTGAGACGGCAATTGAGACTGGGCATGGTGGTGTGCCTGTAATCCCAGCTCTTGGGAGGCTGTAAACAGGTGGATCACTATGAGTCTGATCTAGTAGTAAGACCCTGAACACACTGCAGACCCTTTTTTTTGTAGACAAAAAGAAAATAAAATCACAAATTCTAGAGGACTGCCCCAGGGACTGCATGAGGCTTTGGGGAGACATCTAGACACAAACCATAGCAGGGGTGGAAACTGGGAGTGCTGCTGAGCTGGTGAGCCTGTCCTAGGCTGGAGTCATGTCATTGCCTTTGTGCAGAAACATCCTTAATGCCCAGTTTGTTACATTTTCCTAAAACTTAAAAACAAAAAATAAAACAACCATTAGTATGTTTAGTCTGGATAAGATAGAACCATTCCCCTTAAAACTTATTTAGCACAAGGAAATGATCGAGTACCTCTCTTTTGATCTGTTAACATTCTGTGTGGTACCCGTGTCCATGGGTATTGAACCTGAAGGTGCCAGGGAGCTATCACCCATCACCCATGACCTGTGGTACGAAGCTACTGAGTGTTCTTCAAGTAGTTTGGAATGCTGCCCAGGGTGGATTTTAAGTCTCTGTATTTTCAGGACAAAAGGTGTGCAATACTGAAAGGATTGGCAGAGTTGTTGCCTTGCATGTATGAAGCCCTGGATTTAATCCTCATCACTCCAAAAAAAAATTGACCAGACCATACCTAATTCTGACAAAGGCATCTCCTGCCTCTTGCCCTCTTAGGGGCCGGGGAGATGGCTCAGTGGAATAAGCACTTCCCTGGCAAGCGCAAGGGTCTGAGTTCAATCCTCGGTTCCATTAAGAAAAGAGCACCTCTTGCCCTCTTGTTTGTAAACATAAAGTAGAAGCCTAAACAATTAGGAATTTTTAAAATAAAGTTTGTTTTCTTTTTTGGCCCACTCAGCACCCCCCTGAGGGCGGGGCTGGTATGGTGTGTGGTGCCAGGGATTGAACCGCAGTCCCCTTCACTGGCCTAAGCAGGTGCGTTAGACCGCTGAGTGCTATCGCTGGCCCCTTAAAGTTTTAAGCAGAGTGTAGCGTTACATGCCTATAATACCACCTCTTGGGAGGCTGAGGCAGGAAGATCAAGGTGAGTTGAAGGCCAGCCTGCATTACATACGAAGACTCTGTCTTTAAAAAAGAAAAAAAAAAAAGAGGAAGCTATAAAATAAACATTTTATTTAAAAAAATTTTTAAGTTTGGTGAAGGATTTAGCTCAGTGGTACAGTACCTGCCTAGCAAGTGTGAGGTCCTGAGTTTGATTGCCAGTCCCATCCGTCTATCCTCCACACACCCACCGCCACAAAAATAGGCCTATAAAAAGATTGCCAGTACTGTGTACTGCAGAGAGTTTCTGTTCGCCCTTCACCTACCTGTTCTCTTAACATCACATTTTATGTAACTCTGGCACATTTATCAAATCTCAGAAATTAGCACTGATGCAATACAGTTAACTGAACTCCAGACTTTATTTGGATTTCATCAGTCTTTCCATGAATGTCCTTCTCCTGGTCCCATGTCTAAATTAAGAAACCACATTGCATAAGTTTAAAACTAGAGTGTATTTATTTATTTTATTTTTTCAGAACTAGGGATTGAACTCAGGCCCTTGTGCTTGCCAGGCAAGCACTTATTCTACTGAGCTGTCCCCTTGGCGCCCTAGAGTATATTT